TGTAGCATTTGCCTAGATTTTCGTATACGTTTCTTTTCAAGAATAGAGCCCCAGTATATTTCTCGTATAGGAACGCCCTTGAGTCAGAGCATCACGTGAGCGCGCTCGGCCATGCGGTGGTGGGGGTCGCGCGCCGGAATCGGCCCGAAATGTGCAAATCCTTGCGAGCACTGATTTGCACTATCAATATTGAAAATTTATTGTGTGCATAATGTCTACTATACATTTTCAATACTAGCTAGTGTATGTCGAGATACGTTCCTAATAGTTTTACTAATTGAATAATGCATAAATATATGCTTTCGTACCTGGCATTATTCAAGTTTGTTAAGTATGCATATATATAAGCTTTATCGACTTAATAGCTTCCTATTTTGTAAAGATAAATATAACCTTAATATTTTCATATCAAATACCTTATTCTTTAAAAATGTTTAAATGTCAGATACAAAACTGAAGAAATGTAACATACTATAATATATGTATACTGCAGTATACTAAAATATTCGTAACGTATACTACAATAATTTCATGTAACATTTTTCGAGAATATGTTGATGATTTTTTAGTTTAGCCACCTCATCTCCGATGTTGATAAAATTAGACTCATGAAGAAGCTCTGAAGAAAATTTGTCTTTTTAAAGCAGAGAATCTATGTCTTGTATAATTGAAGCAGAAAATATTTATTGTAGTCTCGCTTACATGTTCTCATGTCCTTTTATGCTATTAATGTGACGAGATTTCCTAACCTGAATAGTCGTCAACTTTAACGATTAATACCTCGATCTACAGGACGGAGCAACTATTTTTTTTTGCCAGATTTGTTCATTTCGTGCAAAAACGCGTCGAATGAGCCTAATTTTATCAACATTGAAGGTGAAGAGACTAAACTCAACAATTACGGAGACTTTTGCTTATACATTTTTTTAAATAATGCACAACTAATTAAATATCTATATTTCTTAATATCTCTCTTTCTCGGAATTTCCTTCCTTTACCACTCAGGCAACCAGAATCGCTTGGCTCATTTAGACGTGAACTTTTCTGTTACTTGCAGCAATGCAACTTAATCATTATTAATTATTTTATTTTTCTTTTCTTGTGTCTTTGTTTTATTTTTCTTTCTTTTATAAATTACCCTTTGTTTGCTTTATTTTAATTTACTATTGCTTGTAAATAAGAATGTAAATAAATGTTTTATCTATCTATCTCCCTCTCCTAAAAATTGTATCATATGTGTAACAGCCTTAGGATATAAAATACTGTACTGCAATTTTTAAAGTTATAAGTAATATTGAAACAGTCATAACCTCCGCGTTGTTACATCTATGATCAAAGTAACAGAAGCACCATGTAACCTCGTCATAATAATCACGATGAATATCCAACTGATGAATACTGTTATTGACGTAATGGCCTAATCGCACGTCTTTAGCAGCAGGTCTGCAGCCTTCGTAATGATCCGCAGGAATATCCGTTCTAAAGCTACGTACGGAACTCAGACATTCGCGAGTAATAATTGTTTCCGCTAAGAAAAAAAGTTGTGCGATTATAGATGTTTTTTCCATTTAACGACACAAGTCGACACAAATGTCATTCTATTTCTTGATATTCAGAGAGTGATGAAGATAGAAAGACACTTGTATTGACTTGTGTCGACTTGTTATCAAATGGACTAAACGCTATATACATATGTATCCCTTATAGCAAAGAGTCACATTTACATCACAATATCAATCAGGAAGAGCATATGTCACTGTGAGATTGTCATAACAAAATATAACACAGATTTACAGACATTCACAGGTCACCATGGCGTAACCATGATTGCTGTGATGTAACTGTGACGTTTTTTACTATTAGAGGGTATATGCATACGTGTGTGTTCCCTTTTATGTCGTCTAAAAATCAAATAAAAATTTAATGTCTTGTAAATGTAACATGAATGATTACCTCCTTTCCGTTCAATTATCTTTACACACTTGTCATCGTATTCTGGACATGTTTCTCCCCAATACCATAACCAATTTAAAGGTGTTCCACATCCAGGATGATTACTGTTACACCTGTAACAGTACAAGCTGTCGCCTGCAATTAAAATGTTATTTCAAAGTAACGTGAGAATATTAATCGGATATGATTCACTGCCACGCCCTTTGTAATGAACAATATACTGTACCCTGATTTGCCAAAACTATCAAGAGAAAAACTGTAAAAAATATTTGTTTCATCTTGTTATACTTAAATAAACCGTTAACAAAACATTTATTTCACGCTTTGTGCTTTTATATGATCTCGTTTATAAACATAAAAGTAGATAGATGAGCGTATGTATATACACTGTATATACATAGGGAAACCTGAGAGAGGACATGACAGCCCAAAATCTGTAACCGCAAAATGCTGCCGCGCACTACTGCCCTCCGACAAAGTGGATGTAAACTACATAGCAACGTCCACTTTTCTTATGGCTCCTGCACACTGGACGCGGAAAGGGTGCCATTTCATTTGTGCGTTTTTGTCATACAAAAGGCACAAATGAAGTAGCACCCAACACTTACCACGCGGCAAAATGAGACGCGGTAAGGGCTGCCGCAGACAAAATTTCTGTTAAGACCATTCTCCATAAGACGCAGAACACGGGTTGCAGGTCGCAAAACGAAACTAACCTAACGTATTTTAATTATGATATGATTGTAGGACGGAGAATGCAGGACGCAGAAAGTTGGGTCAACTTCAACTTTCGCGTCCTGCGTCCTGCGTCCTACATATCGCGGTCTGTAACCTATTAAGCTGGAAACATAATAGACATAGGGTGCTTTCCAGCAAGGGACACAGTCAGACACAGTGTAACACAGTGAATCATATATCCTTGTTGTTTACTTACGTTAGGCCTGAGCACAATAGAGGAACAGGAATTAGATATTAAGATTTTAA